TCAACTCCCAGTAAAACTCCCATCGGTTAACTGTCTTCATCTCTAAGATGTTTCATATGTCATTTAAAATAATTTCCTTGTGTTCTTGAATTATAGGCACTGAAATTTCAGACTAACTGAAAAAATAATCTGTTAAAGATACAAATATAACCATGTCGCCTTTTACTATTAAGAACTTCAAAAACTGTCACAAATGTGCACAAAAGTGCCAGGCAGCATATTACATTGAGCTGCTACAGGAACACAAGGACTATGGTGTTGACAAAAACATATATTCAATATGAGGAGATAGCATTTGGGTGATGACTATTCAAAATCAGACCTGTGATTTGAAAAAAAAAAAATTACAAAAGACTGAACAGCAAACTCAAGACAGGGGAGAAAAAAAGAAAATAAGGAGTTCCTGGGAAGAGCATATTTGATTACATCTTGTACTGAAGCAGCATTCAATTGATATAATCTGATAAAGTTAAAAAGCTGCAGGCTCACATTTATCTGCTGCTTCTGTTTGGGAGATTTGTCTGAGAGATTAAAAGGACCTTGTGAACTTGAAATTGAGTCAACGTCAAAACAACTGTTGAAAGGTTGTTCACTTATTTCACGTCTTCCCGAGATTCAGGCCCCAGCCAATTTTTCTGTATGTTGTAAAACTTTACTAGAACTTTCTAAAAACATCATCTTACTTGAAGATGTGTTTTTTTTTTCCAGATAGCCTAACTAGTTGATTTTACTTTTAAGTCTACAGAAAACACATGATGGAAAAGCCCACGTCAAACATACAAAGCCAACGACAATAAAAAGAATTTTTCTATTTATTTTATTAATAGCAGCGATGCTCTCATTCCTACCTGAGCTTCAGCATACAACCAATTCTGCCCTAATTATTCACATACCAAAAGTGTTCCACAACTGAAGCACAACTCCTTACAAAAGTTACGTTTTTAGGCAAAAGTTTTGGTGGTTTTTTTAGTTGCTATTTTAATACAAAACATTTCAAACTTCACATGTACAGTTTAGACTGTTGAATACTTATTTCAGGATATACAAATAAACAGTGTAAAGTAACTTAAATCAATAGGAGTTGCAGAGCTTCTGAAGGTGATTCGCATGCCAAAAACAGAGTTGCATGCTCTGCTTCAGGAGCTCAAGGGAAGGAATTCAGTGCATTATACTCTACCTTATTTACCATAGCTATAGAAACCACAAATCTCACTCAGCTTTACTTTGGCTGAATTTGGTTCAGTAAAGGCTTTTAAGATTTAAAATAAAAACATTGCTCATTCTTGACTAGTAATAATTCCTTAGTTTTTGCTCTTAAATGAAATAATTTTTAACCTGTGCCTGTAAACAGTGTTCTACCACTCAAACAATTTCTGCGTGGGAGAGGAAGAAAACATATATGCTTGCTCCTTTCTTCACCCAGAAAGCTCATCAACTAAATAACTTCCCTAATTGTCTATAAATTTCCCTCCTCAACTTCAAGCATGTGCTGAAATTCCCCTGATCTCAATAGGAACGCATATCTGCAAATTCAGGTCTAATTTAGGAGAGTGCCAGGACATGCCTGACTGGGCAGTGCTCCTGCTCGCATTCGGGTCTGCCTGCTGCACCACGCTGCATCCAGGCGTGCGGGCAGACACGCAGACACAGATGGGGCTTCTTGCTCAGGCACAAGGCTGAGCAGACCCTATAGCCAGGTTCTGTGCCAGAGCTCGTTGGTTTCCTGCTCACAGAAAAGCAATCCCAGTTTGTTTGTTTGCAGCCATCCAGCCAGATTTGCCCCCAAGTTGATGAAAACTCAGGACATTTCCTTTGCACTGCTATTTTCAGCAAATTCTTTTCAAACTCAGAACTCAAGTAAGGACGGCAGTGCAAAACATGAAGGCAGCTACACTAACATCAGCATGCAATATCTGGACACACATGGTAAACATGTGCAAGAAGGCCAGAACACACCTATTTTTGTGGCAGTTTTCTGAATACACAAGAACAAGCTAATTCTGTTGTTTTTGCTGTCTTTTTTGTTTGTTTTTAAACAAGAACAGCTCAATAAGCTGGAGATACTATCAAAGAATCTAATCTTATTCTTATGGTGATTTCCATTTTTTAAAAGAATGTTTTGAGAGATTTTTAATAGGCTTATGAGTAGTTATCTTGACATTACATATTACATATTCTCAAACTGTTCTATCCCTAGACAACAACCTGATGAGTAAACAGTTCAAGAAGCTTTGATGTCAACTGCTACAGTACAGACAACATAATTTTCTGGTGCTGTGTTACTTACACTAAGCAGTGGAAGTGAAATGAATTCTTGGTTGCTTTCTATCGTAATTATGTGACTTACACTGAAATCTATTTCCATTACAACATTGACAGTCTCTACAACTTCTCTGTTCTCCATAACTATATGCACAGTTATATAAACCCAATCCTCTGAAACAGTGCTTAGTACATAGCATTTTTTTCTTGCTGTTGTCAAAGACAGTGGTAAATACGAAAATAAAATTTCTTAAAGTACAAAGCTGAATAAAGCTCATTTTTATCTTAGAAGAAAAATACTATTGCTACTATAATTCCTTTTGCTATCACTGCGCTGTTAAAACATGAGATTTAAAACCAACTCCAGCTTGCAGAAGATATTCAGAAAGATGCCTGTCTGGCCAGTGCAGGTTTGTCTGAAGCATGAGAACTCTCTGGTGGTGCTGAACTCCTATGCAAGCTCCAGCTCTATACCATCTCCTAATATACTACACAGAAGGCAGTTAAATAGATAGCTAACTATCAAAATATATTGCTTAGAGACACACCAAAATCTCTAGCACTCCAGCCTTTAAATGAAAGCTGCATCTTGATGTATTCCAGCTCAGCTATATGAGGAAAACAAATAGGTGAGGCTGAACAGACCATATTATGCAAGAGGCCACATTATGGATTTAAGACTGAATGAAAACACATCTAATCCTATGAAAAGAGGTGGTGAGAGTACAGTGCACTTCTGTGTACAGGAGATACCCATTTTTAGAACAGCCCTGGTGACTTCAGGTAAATTAGAGCAGCTTTCTGGGCTAAGTTGGCCAAGAATAAGAGCTGCCTGGGTCAGCTGCACTGACCACACCGTGGTCAAGACTTAAAGATCTGTCACAAACTTTCCTTTCTATAGTATAGCCAAAGCTCACACTACTGTCCTTCCACATCACTGTAATCAATAAATGGAAGTTTATGGTGAAACTTCCATTGGCACAAGTGTAAAAAAAAAAACGCACAGTGATTTTCAGTTGTGCTCACATCAGTTGTGACGAGGTGAGTGTCCTTTGACAAAACACTGGAGAGACTTACAGGAAAAGGTGTGAAACACTTTTCTCTTTACTGGCACCACTTGAGTCAAGAACAGGCAGCAACAAGCAATAGCCTCAAGGAATTTACTTGTTGTGTTCCCTTGCCAGCCTCTCCCAGCAGGTGTTGCCATGTGGGGATTTATACAGAAAAACAGATGCATACAGCAGAATGGGAGGGAAGGGAAGGGACATGTGTGTGGGGGAAAGCTTTAGAAGAAATTAGGATCTGATTATCAATGAAAACAGAAGGTTTGATGGAAAGCCAAGGAACACTTTGCTTTCTAGTTTTTTTCCTGTATCACTTGCTTATTGCATATTTCCTTGTCATGTTATTGTGTGTCCCACAACATCTATGGAAACTTTCACTCATACTAATTGTCAATATAGATTGGAAGGGAACCCAAAGGCCTGGCTCACTTGTGGCAAATTATTTTATGTTTGAACACAGCATTGAAGTTTTATTCGTTGGTTCATCATAACTATCACAACAGAAAAGGAAAAATCAAGTTGATTCTTTGCCTGGGCTAGTAATTTTCATCACAGTTTTGCAAGGCTACATGAAATCAACCCTTCCAGCCTCTCTCAATTTGCCAGGCTAACACCCTAGGCCATCTCAGCCAATGCTGATTATTTTCCATTGAGTCATACTCATACTGATTCACTCTGGAGATGTAACTGTTCCAAGCTCTAGTCTTTCTCAAGAACTGCAAAAGAATCAATTGCATACAACAGCAAAAGTTGAGCAGTGGCACACAACAAGGCCTAGTGCAAAGGCTGACTGCTTGCCCTTCCCTTACCTCCTTCCTTACAGCAAGAGATAATTGCACGAGATACTATCCCTGCTCCTCTTGAGATAACCTGTAGTGCAATTGCTCTTTACAGTCTACTGCAACATCAAAATTTACTTTTATTAAATTAAAAAAAAAAAAAAACACACACACACACAGATAAGACAGTGTAGCTTTTCTCCACTTTCACAAAAAATTGCTAAAAGATCCTATGTGAAGAAAGATGATCCCTAATCCTAGGATGATTAATCATCACTGCTGCAGCTTTCATATTGTGCTAGCACAGAGTGTTTTTTGATTAACCTGCTCCTAGTTCTCTGGAAGAAAGTTCAGCAAACACCTGAACATAATGTTGCTCCTGTTAAAACAGGATTTTCACTGACTTTAAAGGAGGGTGCATCAAGTCCTTACAAATACAATATCCTAGAGGTATTGAGTAAGGAGTAACATGAAAAGGAAAAAAAAAAAAAAAAAAAAGGAAAACCTGGCAAGCAGGCTTCTTAGAGTGAAGTGGAATCACTGACCAGACTATAGCAAGTCAGGCTCTGAAGTATGCTAAAACTGCACTTTAAGGGAGATGCCCACTGGTCTGCACACCTACACACACACTTGACCAAACCGCCCACAACATAAAATTATAGTGAGATGGTGTAGAAGAGCTTACAGTTCAACAGCTACAAATTAATATAGTACCTAAACATCTCCACAGTCTAACTACCACCTCTTTTTTAAACGTGACTACACTTTGACAGTTGGGATCGAAAGGCAGTCTGAATAAATTCATACAAATTTATGTTAATATGCAGTAAAGCCCTATATGCATACATGTGATAGTTGCACTCAGCTTGTACAACACAGCGATGTATGTACCTACTTTGACCTGAGGGTATGATTTTTTGTTCTTTTCACTAGAAGCACCAGGAAGTCCACCATGTGAAGGCCCTTCACAAACGTATCGGAAACGAAAACCCCTCTGTGGAAACAAATAAAGGAAAAGAAACTTGAAAGCTGTTTAAAAACAAAACTAAAAAACAGTGCTAGCGCGCGCGCACACACACACACAGACACACACTTGCCCAAACAACCCACAATACAAAGCTACAGCTGTTCATCCCTGAAGTGCTTCTGTAATGCTTCTGAGCACTGGTTGACAAAACAGCAACAAACTGTAGTGTCCAATTGTTCTATTCTCAACTCTTACCTACATCAAAAACTAGAGATTTTAGGACATGGATATTCACTCAAAAGAAAAGATAAAAATTAAAGGAAATACAGCACTCATCCTAAGCGCTGAAGACAGAGAATGGAAGCCAGTAATAACCAGGGTAGTTCAAAGCATCAGAAAGAAAAGAGCATTAAAAAAAAAAAACAAAAAAAAACAAAAAAAAACACACCACCACAGAACTGCTTTTTCTCTGTAGCGAGGAAGAAGATGCAGCTTCATGTTAAAACTCCATCTCCAAGTAGAGTCCTAAAGCAGCCAAATGCTTCAGTGAGCATTACATGACTGGATTTTCAGCTACATAAACAAACATCTTGAGTATATTTTGATGAACTGCAAGATATGAGCACCTAGTCTAGAATACAGCTGTATATTTACCACATTTTTATTTAAAGAAAATAATATCCTCCTCCACTTTAACTAAGTAGCCTAAACAGTACAGAAAATGCAACTCCTTAGCAAAGGTATTGTTAATGTTAATGAATCTAAATGTCAGAATGTACTAACAGGGAAACATTTAGAAAACTGAAATGTCATAGGGTTACCTTTCAGAAAAGGAAGGGGAGAGCTTTCCAGAAAGACGCAGGGAAGTAGCACGAAGAATGAGAAAATAGCAAAATATTTTGTTTTTAAACAAAATTCAAGAAATGAGAAGACAGTTGAAAGGTTTCACAAAGCAAAGTTGGGTGCACAATACTGCAACATCCATTTTTAAAGCTAGGAGAAAACACTCACACATCCTCAACAGCATAAGAGAAGACAGCAAACATCAGGAATCAAACTGATTTTGTGTGTCCAAGAGTTCAGTGAGATTATTTTATATAATTTAAGCTCAAATCAATAGAAGGGCATGAAGGCTAAACCCTTCCTGAATAAAGTCACCTAAAAAAGAATCAAAGAGAAATTTTAACGCCCATATAATGATGCTATTACACGTCTCCTGAACTTTGAATGCTTTCAGATCTGCTCCCCAGATCTGCAATTTCTGGCAAAGTTTTTCAAGGTGCCAGGTCTGTCCATACTGCACGGTTAGCTGTATCCTTCAAGGATCATTGAGCTCTAAGGAATTCAAAGAGTCTGCAGCAGACAGCTAACACCATAGCTCAAAAAAAAAAAAATCACTCTGTAACCACTAGCCTCAATACTTCTCACAAAATCTTTTCAGTTTAAAAAATTGTTTCTCAGGCACATGGAAAGACCCGACTCTTTGATACTGACAGGACAAGAAACTAATCCTGAAATACATATCTGCTTTTGTGCTGCAGTGAGCTGAGACCAACTTCATTGCAAACAAAATGCCAGCTAGAATAGACTCGCTCTCAAGTTGCCCAGAAAGCAATCTCTGCAGTCAAGACACCGGAGGCAACTCGGTCTTTCTTTACCTCTTATGCCCTAGGGCTGGCAGACAGAGGAGCTATTTGGGTGGCCTCATGCAGCTTCCTGCCCTTCCCTGAATAATCACACATTCACCACCTCACTTAAACCTAAATGCAAAGGGATGGTTGGGGTATCACCAGCACAGAACTCTGCCCATATATCACCCTTCCCAATACTGTCTGTGTCAGCACTGATAATAATACTGGCATAAACGGTTGCCCAGCTGGCCACAGCTGCTCCACTACAGGAGCTGCTCATGGAGAAGCCACCGTACATTGTAGCTGCGCAAAGGCATGCCCTGATATAGGATGAACTAAAACAAGGAAGAGGCACTCTTGGAAGAGTTCAGAATATTCTGCTGGCCCCCAAGGTACTGAGGTAGCCCAAATCCTGCAGGGATGCTCAGGCATAAACCTGTCCCTAGTTGGTGCCTGAAACAAATGTTCTCTACAGTAATTATCTTGCACTTGAGTTGCATGCAAACCAGTGCAATGGGAGGAATTTGACAGTGCCAGAGCAGCATGTTTGTAAACAGTCACACAAAAGCTACCTCTAAGTATTTCATCTCTTTTCTTGGGTTATTCAGAAGTGTTAACCATGGCAAAAGGCATCTCAGAGGACAGCAGGGAACCTCTAGGACAACAAAGCAATTTCTTCATGATGCCAAAGCATGAATTAATTTCTTGTTAAGTTTGGAGAATAGAACGAACTTACTTTATTTTTTCTTTCACACTCTTCAAGAAATGCGGAACAAATTCTACACAATTTCCATTTTCAGTGCATTCACCTACATTTCAAAATGCTGGGGTACTTTACGAGCCAGATCTAAGACAGGGATTCTGTATTTGGCAAAGCATTTTTAAAACCCTCAGATTTTGGTGTCTTATGACACTTCCAGAGACTCAAAGAGGAGAAGAGAACAAAACAGGAAACAACTTACTACAAATATGAGAGAAAAATGTGCTCATAGTTACATGTTGTATTTGTTAAGTTCAACCTCTTCAACACTCTTCGATCTCGTCTTAACTCAGTTTTATTCAAAGGTGAATATAGCGATGTAGCTATCAAAGATTTTCAAAATGCAGTTCTTCTTACCTGCTTAGGCTGCTCTATGATTTGAAGGTACGGTCCATCTGCTAACATAAAAGAAACAAGAAAAGTCATAATGCAAATCATATTTCTATTACCATAACACATACATTACAGGGGTAAAGCTGAAGTCCTCAACTGAAGCCCCAAGACAAAGTTTTTGAAAGTATCCAGGCATCTTCAAAACTTAAATAAGATTTTAATTAATAACTTGGGATGGGAGTCCATTTCTAATCTTCAGCAAGACTGATGAGGTAAGAAAAGAAGGATCAACTCGAAATGATTAATTTTAGTTCAGAGGACCTAAAAGGGCAAATATAATCAGCTTGAGACTCTCAAGGATGAGAAAGATCCTCCCCTTGCAAAGGACAACAGCAGCCTAGCCTTCTTGAGGCTAAGGTTAGCTTTTGTGTTTTATAGAGACCCTCAGGCTCTAAAGTCTGTGCTCCCAAACCTTTGGCTCCAGGGCTTCCTACCAAAGTGCTTTAGAAAGTCTAGAGACAGCCAATGAGAAGCACTGAGCTATGGGAATATAGAAGGAATTTAAGCTGTCTCAACATGCCCTAACAGTCAAAGCTGCTTAAAAAAAAATCTTGGAACTGAGGAGCTAATCCATTTACATTTTTTTCATAATTTCATATACTCTTTAAGACTACTATTCTTCTCTCCCTGTAAAACCACCAGACACATTCTATTTACTACAGATGCAGACTTTATAATATGATATCAATACGCGGGGCTATTCACCTTAAAATTGTGTTTGCATCCTGTGAAGGAGGTCTAGCTTAAACAACTTCAAGTCTTGCACTGTTTCCCAAATGGTATCTAACTTCACACCATAAACCTCTGGAAATTCACTGATTTAAACAGCCTTCAAGCAGACCTTAAATTCAACGAGAACTGCATGCCACCAGAGCTAAGGACTAATCATCTGATCAAAGCTTAGCTCCAACTCTGATCTTGTTTAGATTATTTGCTTGGAAAAGGAAAGCTCTCAGGCCTGTATGGTTGTGAAATACCTCTCAAAATGCAAGCCATTGCCAAGTCTGAAAAAAAAACTTTCTTAAAGGTTTAATTTAATTCATGCCTCTTGATAAGCAAAGAGGAGGATTCACATTTTGATGCTAAAAATTCAGGCATTAACAGAGCAGATACCAAATAACAGTGTTGCTTTGAGCATATATCCAGTATATTGACATCGATATCCCTGTCAGGATTAGACACCCTACTAAAGATATTAGCTGCAAGGAATCTAGCAAACTCACTGGGACACATAAAACCTTCAAAGCAGACAGCCACAGTGTTTTGGCAGAGCCTACAAGCATATGTAAAGCATATCGGGCACTGCCAAAATCCAGCAGCATCTGCACTATCTGCATCTCACCATTCAGCTCCCTTAACCACTCAGCTGCTTGGCTCAAGCACCAAAGGAAAAGCTTGTATCGATTTTAACCTGCCAAAAGGCCTGATGTTCAGTCCTTGTTAAAAATGGCAGAAGATTCATTTAGAGTTGCAGTATGACTACGAGTATCCTTCTCCACTCCTTGATACAATTTCAGTTTAGTAGAAAAGGGCTTCACTGAACAGGCTTCTCAAAATGGAAAGTTTCAATAAACACACCAACAGGTGGAATTGTCATTTTGCTGACTCAGGAACTGAATTAGCCTCCTGACAAAGTTTTATCACAAATACCAGTTACAACAATTTCATTTAAGATGATCTTTTATTTTCTTAGTTCAACTCTTGTCTTGTGAAAAATAAATACTGCTACCAAAAAATCCCCCAAAAGCCATATAAAGCAATTGCCCCAATACTATACACATATCTTCTTGAATTAGAAAGCACAGCAAAACATTCTAGACTTTAGAGAATTTTAAGAGATGTAGAGTAATACTTGTTTTGTTTTTTTGTCTGTAATAAGGAGTCAAGATGACTAAAGCTGGGCTTCAGTGGCCCAACTTTATTGACACTTAAGTGGAAAATCTACTTGCACAGAGAGGGCCTCTAACCCTTCTTAGGTTTGCCTTCATCAGCTAAAATTTTCTACCTTAATCTAGAGGCCCTGTATCTTCTGAACCTGGGCAGAAATAATTCAGCTTAAATATAACTGCAGAGATCTACTCTCAACCAACCCCCCAGGTCAGGACCTGCCAAGTAGGTGTGCCTTGGCTGTGCTCCCATTATGAATTCATTTTCAAGGCATACATGTGGGATTAGGATCAGCACAAAATACTACTGCTCTCAAACATCAGTCAGCAAAGGAAATGTTCTTTTACCCAAGAACTGAGTGGTTACGGCAGACCCCCAGGATGCAGCAGATTCAGGTTCAAACCTTTCCTCAGCAGGACTGATTTGCATCATAATGGCATACAGGGAAAGTTCAAGGGGAATTCTCCACACTACCAAAACAGTTTTGCCTTGAATGGTATTTGTGATTTAGGCACTGAAACACTCACGACTGTACCACCTACATCCCCTTGGGATAAGGCTTACAAAAATTTACTGCTACACAGTAATCAGAATGTCTTATACACCAATACAAGTAATGTGTAAAAGAAAGGGAACTAAGTAAAGCATATAGAAGCAAACTAGATGGGTCTGTTAACATTCAGCCAGATTATACGAATCATATACTAGTGCACTTAAAACTAATTTTTGTAAGGTCTTATTTTACCCTTTTTTGTGACTAAACCTTTTCTTCTTAACTAAGTTATTCTCTGATACAGCATAATGGATCTTTCCTCTTAAAGCACTACAGTTAAGCTGTCCAGTTTTCTTTTGAAATACACTGAAAAAAGCGTTTTGTCAACTAGACCAGACTAACTGGGCAAAGACGACAATCTAATACATGGCACTTAATTATACCAGAAACAGTATATAAAGGTAAGGCAGCAACATTCAGAGCATCTTTCAAGCACAAATGGCATATTATTTTGACACTTAAAAAAAAAAAAAAAAAAAAAGACTTCACTTGGCAGAAGATTTCCTACAGCTGTCTTCACTAGACTCTGAATACTTTCCAGAAGCACAGACAGCCCGCCTAACATCTGCTACGTGCAGTTCGTTTTCTCTCTCATCCTTTCCCGAAAGGGAATGGAGGGGAGGAGGAAACATTTTGCATAGGGAAGTTTTTGTTTGTTTCTGTAAGTAGGCATGCCTGGTCCGAGCAGAAGCAGGCAAGCCGAAAGCATACACCTTGTAAACAGGACTCATTATGAGATTTGGGACGAACTTCCATGCCTCTATTCCAGGATGGGATCAGCCCCAGGAAAGTTGCTTGCTGTAAATTCTCGTTTAACAAGTACCCCTCCTTTTGAGTGTTACACAACTACAAGAAGCAACACTACTTAATGCACTTACGGTCTATTTTTGCCGTGGAGAGAGGCTAAAGCAGTGCACAGTTGTGGAGCCAGCCTCTAAGCAGGGAAGAATCACAAGGTTGCCAAGAACCAAGTTTTGACATGAGAACTCCTCATGATTTGCCTGGCACTGCCATTCAGTCAGCAGGGCTATGAACTGCAACTAAACCCTGCAGTACTTGCCTTGGAGGGCTCGGTGCAGGCTGCCACGTACTGGTACTGAGCCTAGCTGCTTTCAAAGCTTCCTTCTCTGCCTTTTCGCCTCCTCACAAACTCACATCCCACTGCCTCCCTTTCAGCCTGAGTCACAGTCCCACTTCCTCACGTCTTCAACTACTACATTTCTTCATTTTCCTTCCTGCCTGAGTCAGAGGCCCTCCTGCGTCTCACACTCCCACTACTTACGTTCTTTCTTCCTCTCTACAGACCTCATCCTGCACACACTTCCCAAAGGAGAGTGTTTGGTTTGTTCTTCCCATCACAGCAAAGTCAAGGCTTGTGGGATACCCCTTCAAGAGTGACAGCACTGTAGGACTGGAGGGATCCCTTATTTAACAGCTTACCTAATACTCAAAACAATTCATTTTAGCAACCTGCAACCAACTGTGGTCAAGTTCCCCACCTGCACCTACTCTCTGTAATGGGGTCCCCAAGACAGGCAGCTGTATCACCCTTGAAATTTAGTGTGCTGTTTTGCTCTGTGGACACTGACAAAACCACTCACAGCCTCTGGGTCTTCTTTATAAGACCCAACACCAACTCTCTTGCCTCCATCCTGACAGTGTTACCTTTCCACTAAAAGCTTGGGCTCTAGATTCAGAGCCTTATTCTACCACAGCTTTTGTGTATTCTCTCCCTTTGGGCTCTAGCCTCACAGGCACACTCTCTTGAATCTCGGCTTTGCAGTGTTTAAAAATAGAAGCTATACACAGGTCTTCCCACACCTCAGAGGATTAGGACCACAGAAAATGAACAGCCACCACATTTTTGAGGAGGGTCAAACTTCCTTGCTTTTTTCTAAAAATTAAATCAAGTTTAGAAATGCCCTCCTTACCACCCCTTCTTCTTCCACACCTTTCCCATTTGTGAACAGCAGCCATTGCAGGAAGCTGGGCAGAACAGGTTAATGAAACAGCAGAGGTTAAGAATCATCAGAAAACGAATTTCAGCAGCCTCCTGGCAAAACTGTTCAGCTGCTGATGGCCCTGCTTCTACTTTGCAGACTTAGTCTGCCTGCCACAAAAAATAAAAATTAAAACTGAATCCATGCCAATGGCTACAGTTAGAGCAGAACCATTCAAAAATCAGAATCAATCAGTTTCTACACATACGTCCCCAAAGCCATCTCTAATTTGACACAGGTTGCTGTATGTCATATAGATGTCAATGATCATCCAATACTCCAGAATCCTTTGCTCAGAGCTCTGCCTATTTCCTCTGCAAATTAAGGTATCACTCTGTTCCTCCACTAAATAGCAAACATCATACCAATGTGCATCTGCTTTACCTCCCTCAAAGTAGTTGCTCTGGGTAATACTTCCTCCATCTCCCTTAAGGACGTAATTCCCAATGAGCCAAAGAACAGTTTGACTTTGTGTCACACTGTCCCTGCATTGGGTGCTCTTTTAAACATAGCCCTGCAGTTTGCACTGTTATGGTGCTTGCTATAAATACATCCCTTTGTCACCAAGTGCACACAGAGATTACTTCTTTTTCTAAATTTAAATGTAAATATACAACTTGACCCAATGTACTACAACAGCTTTATAGCCAAAATAACCAAGCACGAAGCAGGGTTTTTACTCAAAATTGACATAACTGAGACAAACAAAGTGAGCAAAGACACTTCAGCACTGACAACCACACAGATAAAGTCCTTGTCCTGTCAACTCAAAGGTCTTCAGCTATTACTGTAAATATTAACGTAAGAGCAGAACATCTATCACCAAAAAGTCCCCAAATTCCCCAGCTATTTGTTGATTCAGCTACACTGCCATGATATTGCAGTTCAGTTACACATTAAACCTGCCTGACAGTGTGATAAGTCAGGCACTGTACATTTATGAATGCAGAGACTGAAATATGTAGGTACAACACAGAATTCCAAGCAACAGACTCATTAAATCTTAACGTTTAATTCAGCCATCTGTGCTGGAGAGAAATCCTTTTGAGAACACTTATTCCACCTTCACCATACTTCACTGGGGTGCTTTGGAAGTCTCACATGAAATTTATAAGCAGTCTCATTGTGTAAAAAAAGGCAATGAGTTCTTGCTTGAAAACAACTAAAATCTAACTCCTGCTTCGCATTATTAGACTACCTTATAGCTAAAGAACTAGTCCACCACCATTTGAAGGGTAGGAACTGAGTATTATGGTGATATTACTTGAGAAACAAAATCACCATAGCTAAGTTGGGTGGCACTGAAGCAATCAACCTTCTCTGATACTTAATCATCTTTTTGTGACAAATTCAAATCTATCCTCCTTTAATAAAACCCATTCTGTACACAGGAAACTCAGCACTGAGACTACAGTAGTAGTCTAGTAGTACAGTACAGCAGTGCAATGGTCATGATGGGGGAGAGAAGGCAGGATCTATTTGATTTTGCAAATAAAAGGCATAGCTTGACTTAGTCCAGAGTACTCCAGTAGGTTTCTATGATTCCAGATCTCAGTGAATTCTTGACTGGTCACATAACTTATAAAAAACAGCTGTTTTCTACTTTAGACAGAACAAATATCTGAAAATCAGCTTTGTATATCTGATTAATTTGTATGGAATGAGTCTGGCATGAGGATTACAAAGTAAGCTTAAATGGTAGATAGGATGTCACTACAGTGGTATCTGACTTCCAATAACCATTTGTGTCCCACAAAAGCTCTGGGAGGAAAAGAGAAAAAAGAAAAGAAAAAATAAATGGATGTGCAATGCATAAGCCCTTTAATCTTAAGCAGATGAATCTTACCAAAGAATTTGTCTGCATTAATAAAAACACTGCAAACAAATGATTGCAACATTCATTTGTTGGATGCCGGTCGATATTTGTCAAGAGCTTTGCTCATCAGAATAAAAGCTTATCTTGGAACATCATTATTTGTATCACACGTGCTTCCTGATTCTTTCTCATTACTATTTAGTAAAGAAAAAAGAATAGTTTAAACCAGGAAACACTGGAACAGTATAAACCTCCCCCTTTTTGAAATCATAATTTATTTTCATGTTAGGGCAGAACTTTGTCTATTAAGTGAAGGAAAAGGCTAACTGCTAACTCCATGTCATCTTTCACACCTTATGCTGTTGTCAAGTGTACCACATCTCAAACAAAAGTGATTTTGCATTTTCAGCAAAGTAATCTGCAATGCAGAAAACCAGCTACTTCCTGATTTATCAGCAACTTGGATCAACAACAGGAAATTTTCATGCTGAAAAATATTAATATCTGTACTGGAGATAGCAATTAAAAAATACTAAGAAAAGCCTCAGGACTACCTAATTTCAAACAAAAAGCGTTACTTGCAAAAAAGTCAAAAAGCAAAACCAGTTCGAGGTTGACCAAGCAGCTAATATAGGCTAAGATATAATATTTTATTTCACATTCCCATCCGGAAACTATACTGGGAAGAACTGAGTACTAGACCTTTGCAGAATATTTGGCTTATTTTCAGCATTCAGAGGCAAAAATTTAACTCTGAGCTTTCGAATAAATGTTATTATTCAGAAAATTGACAAGTTTTAATATCAGACTGCCACCCTACAGAAAATAAAAGAAGTCACTGAGAAAAGACGCAAATGATACAGGAAGCTGAATATACCCTACATTTTATTAGTGAAAAGCAAGCACCTTAACATTTTTTACAACAAATGAAACATTGTTTGAGAGAGAAACTGACAGTATAAATGCCCGAAGTTGCTGAGGATGTATATTTAGAAAAAGAAAACACAAAATAAGTTATAAAAACAGGTCACAGAGCTACTTGATCAAATTATTTAACTGATTGAAACTTTCAGCTTTAGACATAAGCCAAAAGAAAACTGGATTCCTCTCACTGCTGAAACTGTTATGAGGGAAAGACATGTTTAAAGGATATAATCAAAGTCAATCTAAAAGTCTGGTTGACAACTTTGGGATATAGTGTTACAAAACACAATGGTGTAACCAAACAAGCCTCTGAAACTGTTTCGAGGGGAAGGTATTTTTAAATAAAAAGTTAATTCAAATTAAGTCTGGCTGACAACTTTGGGATGCAGTATTATGAAATATCCTAGTATAAACAAACAAGCCTCTGAAGCTGTTGTGAGGGAAAGATGTTCAAAGGGTATAATAAAAAGTCAATCCAAATGAAGTCTGGTTGACAACTTCAGGATATAGTATTATGAAATACAGTCGTATAAACAAGCAAGGCTCTAAAGAATTCCTGCACAAAACAAACTGGAAAATGGCATGAGCAGTACCACAAGAAAATAGCAACACTCATACCTGTTCGTAGTGGTAAGTCTGAAGTGATGTAACTTGTATTAAATATTGCATTCATTCCCATGAACTGATCCATTGCAAGCATCTATGTTGAAAGAGAGTTTACTCTTATTACTAGATATACAAATAATTTCATAAAACAACTTCCAGTGAGGATTTTCATAGCTCTCTACAAATATTGGGACTCCAACCACCCCAATGCAGTAGGTAAATATTTTATATCTACTTTACAGGGGGATGAACTAAATCTCAGGGGGTCTTGTTTACCAAATCATCTCTGTTTTAATAGTTTATCAACAGCAGTGCCAGAAAACCTGACAACACTGAGCAAGTTTCACCAATATTTTGTGACTGGACTGAACTCAGCAGGTCCTAAGCATATTTTTTACTTGCATGCGCTACCAGCCATATATTCAGAAAACTTTAGATGCTAAGATCTTCTGAAAATCTGATGCTAGAGTTTTGCTCAGTGATATTCGCATTTATACCTCTAATTTAACCCTGCCAAACCAGATTACTGAAATATATTTATAAGATCTAATGTAAAAAATAGAGTATCACCAGGTTATATTTTAGTTTTTAATACTAACATATCTTAACCTACTGTAATTGTTGCCATATCTAAATCTATCTTTTTCCAGACCTGAACAAGCACAAAAGAAAATACTCTCTTTTAGAAAATCTTTAAAGATCCTTCCTTTCAAACACTGTTCTTGCAGCACAAATGAGTCACAGCAACCTAATATCTGAATCACTGAAGAGTTTTTGAAGAGCTACTTACAGATCTTCATGAGTGAACGAATATTTCTGTAAACGTCAATGCACAAATCTCATCAATAAAGATATAGGATATTGTGTTAAAACGCAGGTTTTTTGCTTTTAGCACATTATTTTTTATATAAAGTCCAGTGCCCACTATGGAAGGAATTTCAGAATAAGTGTCATAGGCAGACTGCACAAAAATAAGCAGTTTTTCCACCGCTTCTTTCAGTACGCCTGGTCTTCCTTTATATTTCAGTTATTTCACCATGATAAGGCACTTTACAAGTCACACAAAGTGCTTGCTTAGGAAAAAAAACCTAGAACTCTGAAAGCCTGATTCCAACTAGAAAAGCTAGGATGCTTTTATATTCCTGCATTGTTACACCTAGGAAACATCATGGCCATATACACGGGAAGTACCAAAAGCAAGAGAGCTAGGACAGAATACAGAGATATTGAAAATGCATAAATTAACTTACTTGGGGGTCAGACACTCCCATAATATAGGAATCTTCTGCCATTTTGAAGTCCTGAAACACAAAAGCAAGATCAGTACTGTTGCTTTTACAGAAAACAGCAAAACACTAGAGCTAAAACACTAATCTCTGATTCCTTTCAGGTACTCGTAACATTAACAACTTGAGAAATGCTCCTAAAATTCCTCTGTTTTTTGCAGAGAACAAGACGCTCTTGCAACTCGGTCACAGCCAAAATCCTAGAGACAAAATTTATTGGAACCTCTTTAAAATGTTTAATGTGTTTCTACCTTTGCCCTCACTATTCTGCCCTTGCAGTTCAGGCAAAATCACCATCATAGTTAAGCCTAAGCAGGACTGTTCATTTTTATACAATAAAAATACTTCAAAGCATTTATGAATTAACCTCAGCAGTTTTCTTGTGAAGTACTATTGTACATGAGATTAAAAAAGAGGATGCAAACAATGAATAATTTTTGACGTTTTTACTTCCAGAGGTTCACAAGTACTTGGCCCCTACCACTGGTGGTGAATAATAATTATTATGGATGCATAGCATCCATAATCTTCTTCCACCACAGGTCTGCATGTGCTAGGAAATTTTATCCTGACTTATCTTTCCCGTGACCATAACAAAGCAATAGCAGAACATGAAAATTATCTTAGGAATTGATTAGGTCTGTTCTTAACAACCGATGTTATTTCTTTCATTTAGACAATGTTAAAAGTATTAGAAATTCATTAATGTTGCTCTTATTAAAAAGAGGTTTTAAGGAATTATCTAAAAATAACTGTATTCCCTATTTAAAGCGATTCATGTGTCTGCATGAAGGCAGACACTCTGAATAACAGTAATAACTAATAAAATAAAAAAAAAATATTTTCCACCACAGTGAACATGAACCATGTTTTCCAGCACAAAGTGAATTATGAAAACCTACTGCCTAACTCAAAAGACAGTAGCCAGCCATCAGTAAACCAGTAAAGAAAAACTGAGTCACTATGAACCCTCACTACAAACAGGAATTAGAAAGGCAAATATCAAAAGAAAATTGCAATACTCAGGTACTTCACTCTGACAAAAGCTCTAAGCTACTTAACAAATTCCAAAGATGGCATATGGCCAGCCTTCCCACACAAGTAGAAAGAGAAAGAACATTTACAGCAGTGAGACAGGAGACACTTAATATAGATCTGCCTTCCAGGAAAAGAGACCTATGAAGATGAAAGTATTTAGCTTAGAAAATATACATATTGTCCTGTTCATAATTCAATTTTAGAGATAAATATTAATAGAAAAATTGATTGCAATACTTGAGCAAATATTTAATAACTGTATATAAGGTCTCAGCCAAAAATAACAAGTATTCATAGTCATCTGAGGCACACTTCATCACCTATTACCTCAGGACTTCTTTAGCAATGAAAAAAGTGCCATTCGATCACATTATTTTACAAGCACATACTCCAAAGTATTACTTTCATTGATGATTTGCTATTATCATCAATCATTGTGAAAAAAGCCAACATAAAAAGCACTCGTAACAAAGTCTTCAGCATGCAGCAAGCTTTACAAACATGTTTTTATTTGACATTTCTTTTCCATAAAAAGCATATAAACCTATTTACAAATTTGTCAGCCACTGAAATCACTAAAAAAAGTAACAATAAAAAACAGTAAAAAAAAAAAAAAAAAAAGCACTGCACTTTGCGGCTAATGCTTCCTAGTTAAAGGTATACATATTATGGAAAACAATCAAAAGTCTTCAACATTTTTAGAAAGTGTCAGAAAGTACCCACCCTACTGATGCACACTGATTAGCTAACTGTGAGCGCACATGCCAGGTCCCTTCGGCGCAAACAGAATAAAAGCTGGTCCTAAAGGTCTTGTTTTGTGATTTCTCACCTTCAGCAGCTTACTATTTCACAAGTCACATGCAAAATCATGTTCCAAAATCATGTTACTAGTTTCGAGAAGAAAAGTTCTGATGAGCAGGGTAAGATTAGTAGCCTCTGCCTGTTTGTCAGCTCACTATATCCGTACCTCTGAGAAAGTTTCAAACAAAGCATCTTGCAGCTTCTTTGGTAAGCACACTAGGATAAACTGGAGAGCATATTCTATCATCCTTGCCCCACTGTAGCTAATCACACTGCACTACTCTTGCTGCAGCAGAGCTTGGTGGGGGAAAGTCCAGTTTTAACACCTATGTTTCCTGGCCACATTAACATTTTTGTAATATATGATCTCACTAAAATTGACACTATTTCTGAAGACAGTTCCATTAAAAAACTCTGACTGTAAAAATTAAAATCCATACAAAAATTAACCTATACTTACCTGAACCAGTCCTTCAAATAATATCACCAAAACTGTCATTTCTCTTTTTTGGCTGATGCTATGAATGAGGACATTGTAAGAGCAAAGCCACAGTCATTAAAGGAGGTTACATAGGTTGCTATGTGTTCAGAGGTGGCAATAGGTATGTACTAATTAGTGAGTCTATAAATTGGTATTAAACACCCCTCTGTTACCCACCAGCACTGTGTCCCTTGCTTGATCCCTTATGGTCAACAGCCAAGCAACAGTCAAGTAATGGTTGAAGGAAATGCCACAGACACTCTCCTTTGCACGAATGCTAAGCCAGTGTATTAGAAGAACAGGATGATTTAAGTGTGCAAACATATGGCTTTGTGTATGTAAACAGATACTTGACTGCCTTTTCAGGGTCTAGACAAAAATTAACCCAGTGGTTTAAAATGTCCCTTCAAAATGACTGAAAACACTCTCAGTTTCAATATATGTTTTCTCTTCTTTCAAAGCAAAACAAATGACAAAAATGTTCCAGGAACACTACCGGAAAAAGAGAATTTGTTTGTTTAGGATTTACTTCATCAACATAATCCCTAATCTGCTGCTTCTTACAAAAGAAAAAGAAATAATTATATTAATCTTTAGTTGTTCACTCCCTTATTGCTCGAATTGCTAAGCATTTTCACATAAAGAGATAAGATTAACATCTATTAGGAGTAGCTTTGTTTGGTCTCCCCTTGTGAAGAAAGCTATTTTGTGGAGGTTTCTGCTACCATGCACACCTGGTTCCCACATAATCTCCAATCCACAGACACTCTAATGCAAACTTGCATCTACAGTAAAAAAAAAAAAAATCTCCCTACCACTATCTGACTACCTTTTAAAGCAAAATGAGCCTTCTCTAAACAACTTTTGTTAGTCCCTGACTTCTTGGAAGTTCCTTGCTCTAGTGTTCCTTTTCAACTTGCCAGCTTGAATTGTGCTTTTCCACTGTGATACCAATATCCAGTGCAATACATACAACGAGGAAGAAGACTTACTAAATTTCTATGGACTTGCAGAACCTAATGCAAATTTCTTTATCTGTGAGAAATCAAACTTTGATGTCCGAGTCAGATACTACTATTCCAACTATTTCAAAAAATGTTTACAGACATCTTCTCATCCAGCAATTGCATGTCTTCTAAAAAAACAAAAAGATCTAAACTTCCTGAACCACATATGCTAACAAATTAGGAAGATCTCTTATCCTCAGAACCAGGAAATGAACTAATTTGAATATTACCTCAAATACTTGCACAAAATAGCTATGTTTCACTCCTTTGAATCTATCCATATTTTAAAGCACACTCAGAGGAAGCTAACACTTCAAATAGGAGTAGGGGAAAAAAAAAAAAAAAAAAAAAGCATAGGCTTCCTTTCCCAGGCTTTCAAAGAATGACATGGCAAACAGGTATCTACATTTAATCTATGTGCTTTGGATATGAGTATAACATAGCAGGCAGTTTTGAGAGATTAAGGACAGTGTCACCAATTGCTCTGCCACAAAGATCTGCCTCATCATGGAAAGCATGATGGCTGGCAAAAAAAAATGTTAATAGCTACTCAGCTCTCTCTCCAGCTACACAAAAACAAAACACAAACTAACACAACATGGATACCCTAATGATACCCTTGGAAAATAAAGAGAGACCACCAGAATTAGGATATCTGCCTACTACTGTGCTTTTAAAAAAAGGAACAAACCCACCCTTCCTAAACTTGACCTTTTTTTTTAAAAAAAAAAAAAAAAAAAAAAAAAAAAAAAAAAAAACTAACTCAATATAAGGATTGAGCTGAAGAAAGATTAATATTTTATAAAAGAAAATTTCAGTTACAACACAGTCAATCAACAGCATCATACAGAATTAACACATATTCTATCAACGGCAGAGTGGAGAGATGGATGTTAACGATCTCTGAGTAATAAAGACCATTACAGTCCTGCACTCAAATCACTCTGACAGTTTCTGTACTGAAGGAGATCCATCTCTGATTTTATAAGATCCTCTACATAAACATCAACTTCTCTTCACCTTTCAAGCCAGGGATTCAGAAAACAAGTGCAATCAAGACACAAGAAACAGTGCTATATTTCAACTAAAGTTGAAGAACTGAAGAATGCCTGAGGAATAGTCTGGAAAAACTCGGAAAATGCAAGCTATGTGTCTGCATGCATGCAGACACCCACTTTGAAAAATACACAAATATGCTACAGACAGCAATCCCCTGCATTCTTCAAACTAGGAGATGATCTAAGAGATGATAGCCCATTAAGAGTTTTCTGAAACACAAAAGTAGGTGGAATCAAAAAAAGAAACATCACGTATACTTTTGCTCACATTATTGACATGCATCTCCTAAAGAACAGTAAATGAAAGGCATTTTAAAGAACATGGAAAGTGATTGCTAACTCACATAATTTGACAAGTCCTTTCAGATGCATTTTTGAATGGATGTTAACTAATTACAAAAACTAACATGAGATTTAAGATTCTCAGTATAAAACTCAACAATGCTCAATTTCTGTAAAGAAATATACAGAAGTTGTTTTTGCTTTTAGTTTCCTTCAGCTACTATTAAGTATAACCTCTGAAAAAATATGTCTGCATAATTCCTTACTATGAGTCAAAAGGTTTGCATAGAGAAGCATTTTATCTTTTCTCAGCACACTATCTTACCTGTCTTTAGACTGTTACTGCTACAATAAAACTGCCTAACCCAAAATGACACTACACACCATTTGTTTTTCTAATCTACCTACACAAATGGCCTCTTTTTGTTATTCATTAAGTCTGCTTATTATTTCCTGTTGGGTGGAACTTGGGAGTTAGGGTTGTGTACTTTTAAAGGTAAAGAAAAGCAGTTGAAGTTAGAATTTTAAAATATTTCCAGTCAAGCATGCATTACTTGAGAACAGCCCCAATGTCCAGATTCTATTAAAAAGTTAAAAAAATAAAATTCTACTTAAGAAAGCACTATTGATCAGAAATATTCAAGAAAGATTTCATGAGTGAGATACTTCCAAAAAAGACTGTTAGGTGCAAAATTATTGTAGGAGATCAAAAACAAGATTTATTTTACCAGATAACTAATAAATTTAAATAAAAATCTCTAGCATGAGGAAATTTATTTCACAAATACGCTTCTTTTTTTAGTATCTTTACAAAAGGAATTTGTGTTTTATTTATTCTTTAAATACCAAAATAGTGACAGAACATGACAAGAGGATATTCTAAGTTGTCCTAAACACAAACCAATTTTTCTGAGTTATTGATAGAATAACATATGAATGTTTTTGTCAAAACATACTGAAGGCAACTTAAAAGGAATATGCAGTACTCAAATGTGGCAAACACATACTCTGATTTATGTAAAATGCTAAGCACATGTAAAAATATTGAGATTCGGCACAGCAAAACAAGTCAAAAATTGCAATGTATTATAGCTGCATGGGGTGGTACTGTTACTTAAACTAGATGAATATCACTTCAAAATGCTTTTACTTTCAAGACCAGGTTAAAGAGAGTCACTGGACATTCCTTAGAAATAGCTCTAGTTTATGTAAGGTAGGTCACCAAAGTAAAATTCTAACTTGAAGAGCACACATGTGCCATTTCATAAACTTTAAATAAAATGATACGAGAGTATTAAACACCAACACTTCTCCTTCCTTTGGAAAAAAAAGAAATGTTTCTAAGGTGATAAAAGACAAATGCAAGATTTGAGAGGGGCCGTTCAGGTATGGCTTGCTGCACAGCACAGGTTCTGGTGCGTTACTGAAGACGCAGCTCCCCATTCCTGGGACAACCACTCCCAGTGTGGGCTGAAAGTGACAGGGGCTGTTCTACCACAGCCAAAATCAGCCAAGGGATCCTGGTGGCCTTTTGTTTGCAAAGAGTCACTGAATAGTGAGACAACTAGCCAAATAAGTACCAACAGCCATGAGGCACATACAGGCAAAAGAGCACGGTGCACCATTACACTATACTCATAAGCCCTGATTTTGAAGGGTTTCAATCCTCCTTTACCTAGGGTTTAAATCTAAAGTTGAAAAGCAGGTCACAGATTACTAAGGTTTAATTAGACTCTGTTTTATAGAAAAATAGCAAAATTCTCTCAGTCATAATTCTCTACAGTAACCTATTATACAATAAAATACTTACACCTCAATAAACATGAAGAGTAGAAAAATACCTGCCTACTTCGCTTTTATTTCATTTGTGCATGCTAAAAAATGTCCCTAAGCGTGCTAGCAGTCAGAACTATGATGTAAAAAAGCCTCAGACCTACTTTGCTCTTGATCTGTTCATACCAGCATGGTTGGCTTTGAGGATCAAATGGAAAACTCTGGTATTTTAGCTTAGCTAATTCCATGTTAAAAAAAGTACTGCTTTTTACAAGAACATAAAAGCTGAAAGGAAAAAAAAAAATCAAGTAGAAGCAATAGAAACTTCTTCCCAACACCATGGTTGGTCAGGTCCACCTCAGCCCTAATCAAAGGATTTTACCTTGAAACT